CCTTGTTCCTGCTCGGCATTCGTCCTGGCCTGGAGGGGCGGATCTATCTGGGCTTCCAGCATGCGGGCCTCCTCGGCCTCTGGGTCCGTCTGCCCCCCTTCGACATCCGCTTCTAACTCGACATTCTCGGCCATCCGCCCGGCTCTTGACATAATCGGGGACGAACCTGTCTGGTTTCCCAGCGTGCGGTTGCCCCCTTCTTCGCGGGGAGCGGCCATATTTGTCTCGGCTTCGGGGGCGGAGTCCGCCGCATTTATTTCTGCCCGGGGGATAGTCAAGACGCACTCCCGCGCTTCTCTCTGGTCTCCCCGATGGGCTCCTTCCCCGTCCGAAGTCGGGAACTTGATGGAGTAATGGAAAATTGAGACGGCTCCTCTCAGCTTGTAAAGAGCCGTTCTGCCGAGGATGGCATTGTATTCGCTCGGGCAATCCACTATCTTGAAAGTCTCCAAAATCGTTCTCGTGGGTTGCCCCTCCTCACCGAACTTGATCGGCAGTGTTACCTGCCCAACAGGGCTTGTCATGTGGCCGTTGAACCCCTGGATCCGCTCTCGGCAGGGTTGCACCTCCTTCCTGTCAATCCCCATTTTCTTGAACGTGCTATAGTATAAGATGCTCGCATAGGCCCCGGTGTCGACCATTATTCGGTGGATCTTGATCGCCATTATCGGGGCCGTAATCACCAGGGCGTCCGAGTGGGGATGGTCGAACAGGAATGCGTCCTCATCTGTGAAGGTTATTTTGTTGGGCGTTGGCTCAGACGTCGGCCTGCTTCCGGCGTGCATCATCCTCTGCCCGGCGTAATAAGCCTGCCGGGCGTAGGCCTTTGTCTGCCTCCTCGAGACGAGGGACTCACCCCGGCTCGTGTTCACGCGCCGGGGTAAAAGATCAGTCTGGTCAGTGTCTGGTCGTGGGGACCGGTCTCTCTTTCTTCTTGCGGAGGTGCCGGGCTCACCTTGGTGGTCCGGGCTGAACGTTAGGATTTCGTTGGGCGCGCCCTGCTGCGGCTTTTTCCTCCGGGGGTTCACGTCGGCATCTTCATCACTATCGAGGCCGTCTCCGAAGCTGCCTCCTTTCTTTCTTTTCTCGCCGGGGCGAGTGAACTTCTTGACTTGCGGGTCGTCTATCAACTTGAGCAACGCCGCGATCAAATTTCGGCATTGATCTGTGTTGTGTCCGTGTGCCTTGTGGTAGGCGCAATATCGGGACTGGTCTACCTTGTCCTTGTCGGTGAACATGGGTTTCGGGTCGGGCAGCAAGCCCTTCGCCTTGATCTCCTCATAGACCGCGGCGGCACCAACCGAAAAGACGCCCTGGTAGTTTTCTCTGAGTTCTTCCGCCCTTTGCTTCCTCATAGCCCGCATCTCGGCAAATGACTTGCTGGGTTTCCCCGACTTATCTTTATTTTTGTCCTTGCTCGACGTGGCGTCCAGCACCGGGATGGATGAGGATTCCTCAGCCATTATGTAATTTTGGGCTTTGACGAGGAACTCCTGGTAGGTGGCTGGCTTGTTTTGGCACAAGGACCACTTGAACAAGGTTTTTGGCTTCAGCCCGGCCTGCACGGAGACGAGCAGGGTCTCGGGGTGGCACTGTTCCATGTTCTGGACTCGGTCGTTAAACCGAGTAATATAGTCTTTCAAGCTCTCGTCCTCGCCCTAGACAATGTTGGCGATTGATTCCTTGGGGGCCAGGCTGGTCTGTGATCCGATGAAGTGCGATCGGAACGCCGACCTGAGCTGGCCCCAGGTGCAGATCGAGTGCGGATACAAGGAATGGTACCATCTCTGCGCCTTTGGTCCCAGGGTCAGGGAAAACATACGGCAGCGTAGGGCGTCTGTCGCGCCGTGCAGGTCCATCCATGACGTGTAAAGGCCGATGTGAGAGTCGGGATCCGAGTTTCCGTCGTAAAGCCCGAGCTGCGGCACCTTGATTTTCTGGGGTACGGGCTCGCGCAGGATGTCAGGAGAGAGAGGGGAGGCGTGGTCCACGACTCGTGGAGTGGGCTGCGAGTAGTGAGGGGGTGATGTGCCCCTTGGGGGTGAGCGCCGACCCTCCAATTCGGCAATTCTGCGCTTAAGGGCCGCGACTTCGTCCGCGTCACGCCCGATGTTCTTGCCCCGCTCAATCACGTCCCGGAGGTCGCGGTTGGCCTGGGTTTTGTCCCCAAGGCGTTGGTACACGGAGCGCCGTATGACCTAGAGGCTCCGGTCTGGCTGGCTTTCGCCTGTCTGCTCCGTTGGCGCCGGTCTGGCGTTTTTCTCGCGCCTGGCCTGAGCAGAGCGGTTGGGTGATTGCGCCGTCGTTTTGGATTTGGCGGGTTTTTTCTGCTGTCCCCCGGCCTCCTTATCGGGAGTTTGGAGCAGGGTGTTGACGGGATTTTCTGTAGCCGCCACAGTGTTTCCCCCAGGTGCCTGGCTCGCTAAGGCCCTGGCGAAGACCCCCTCCAGGGCTTTGAGCACGTCGGGGTGCTGTATGGCAGCAGCAAAGGTAGGAACAGGAGGAACGGGGACTTGGGTCCCTTGCTGGTTGCGGCGAGAAGTTTCTTCGCCGTTGCGCCGGCGGGGTTGAGCGCCGGACTGCTGGGTTGACTCGTTGTTGCTGGACGAAGCCATCTTGAATGAGATTCGAAGCGAATGAAAGTGAGTGAATATGGGGTTTCACAAGGTCGAACAATTGACACCAAGCAACTTATGGGGCCCTCCTTCTAGCGCCAAACTGTTGACGAGCGTTTTCGGTCAACGGTTAAAAATAAAGAATATCGAAAACAAGACTGGAGAAAAGGAGAATGACTCGATTTAATTATGATTTTATTAGGCGATCGCGGGGTCGGCCTCTCGTACGAGGTCGGCACTTGCGATATACTTACAATTCTTACAGCGAGTTTCTTACAGTTCTTAGAGTGAGAAAATAGAGAGAAGGCAGAGTTAGTTGGGATTCAACAACCTAAAATAAATGAGGTGAGCTTCTATTTATAGTGGTCTTTAATGTGTCACTATTCAGCCACTGTTCACCGGTCTTGTCGCACAGTAATTTGGCAGGGCAGTTCGGCGTCCGTCTGACGGTCATTTAATGCGATTTGAGGTTTCTTCAATCATTGCCTGACAGGCATTAAATACCAGGATGGGGTGCATTTAATGCTGGATGGCTTTGCTGACTTAGGCTGGCTGGTAGGGGGCTAGGCCATGATTACCTGTCCCATCGTCCAATGATGACCTCCCAAGTGGGAGTACTTTAATGTTCATTGAGGCTCCTGCGTCGTCCCTGGTCGGCCTCCTCATACTTTCAGGTCGGCACTTTGTTCGTAGATGTTCTTCAGACTACGAATAGTCTCCTTCCTGTCCGGCACCCATCCAGGTCGGCTTCTCCTCGGTCTAAGTCGGGCGCCGGGCTGAGGATCTGTTCCCTGGGCGGTTTCCCGCCCCTTTAATTCGCGGTCCAGCTCGGCACTTTCTCATCAGACCGGGTTCTTGTCTTGATCCGGAGGGGCTGAGTATCCGATCCGGCCCGGACCGAATCGGTTGTCAACACTCCACACGATTGAAACGGTACAGCCAAGAGCTACCTAGAGCCAATACTTGAACTTGATTTTCATGATATAGGCTGAACATGATACTACTAATTTAGAAAAGAGAGATCCCAAGCGATTACCTCTCCACTTGCTCGCCTGGTCGTACAAAATGCTCGTGATCACTCGGAGATCGATGCTTCCGTGCGCGTGCTCGAGCTTCTCCGTGCGTGCTTGCGGTTAAGTGCGACGCTCTCTTAACTAAGGAAACTCTCACTATATCTCTCTATACTAAGCACATATATACCAAAATGTGAAGGGGAAAATTTTCCTCCAACATAAGCTATATATATATAACCGAAAAAAATGGATGAAGAGGGGGAGAAATTATTTGTCCAATCATCTTATGCCATTTGCTAGATATTGAGGCCTTAAGGATGCTTAATCATCTCTAAGTTGGCTTAGTCATCACTTAGTGTCTCAATTAGTGACACCTCAAGCTTTAAGAAGGGAAACACTTACGGCCTTAGGGAGAATTTTTGCAACAATAAACATAACTTGACCAAAAAAATGCTCACGACTTTTTTTAATAAATTTTGCACAATTCTCATCAAATGCTACGGCATTGGTCTTGCTAAACATGATTAATTATTAATTAATCATGATCTTATGCTTAACTAATTAACTAAACATGATACTTAATTACCAAAATTATTCCGAACGTAAACGTAACGTCGAAAATAATTTCGGATAATCTCGACTGAAATAATTAATTCCAAAAAATAATAATCGACAATATTATTATATCGGAACTAAAAACATGATTTATATTACTAACATGACGGGATATTACATGTCAATTTCTAATAAGTTGTGCTAAAGTTGAACAATTGCTTCAATTATTACAACCAAATGAAACTGGGTTTGAAAAATCAACGATTTAGAATGGAATGCAATAAAATCATTTTGAATGTAACAATATCTTCAAAGATTATTTTTCCATATCTTGTTATATGAATTGCAATGCAATCCCAACAAAATAAAGAAATAAATAAATAAAAATGATAGAATAAAAAAGATATATACAAAAAATCACTCTTTATTAACAATAAAACATTTGTGAGATATAATTAAATTAGTATAATTCGGGAAAATTTCAAAAGTAGTCCCACAACTATCGGGTTTTCCGCTTTTGGTCCCTATGGAATAGTCTTTCCTAAAACTGGTCCATTAACTTTTTAAAATCCATCAAAAGCAGGACAATTATGGTCCCCGATGCTTTTTCCAGCCCGGTGCTGTCGACGTGGCTTCACAATATCACACCTGGCCGATCAATTAACAGCGTGGCCGATGACATGGCTACTAAATCCTCCTTGGCAGATGACGAGGCACAGGGGGTGGGAAAACACAATATAATTGGGGAAAATGTCCCAAAATTGAGATCGATGTGCTTCATTTTTCTTCTCGCACGCAGACAAAAAAACCTAGTTTCTTAATGCGTGACGCCAAAATCGCACACCCTTAAAATCTGCCAAAGAATATTATATACCATTGAAGACGCACGTGTTAAAAGGCTTTCAGAAATGGGTTTCATGAGACCAAAAATGCACATAAATTCCTCCGATGTATCGTGAGTTTTTTCTTTCTTTTTACTGTTTTATAGCAAAATCGAATCTTGGCATGTGATAATCTGTATTTGGAAGTAAATGGTGTGTGGTGTGTTTGTCATGTTGTATTTCAATGAATTATATTTAATTGTGGCAGAGAGGACCACATGTTTGTGAAAGTTTAGACAGGTTTATTTCTTTATTGTTGTGTCTATTTGTACTTACTCTATTTTTTGTTCTTTGTGTTTTGTTTATAATATTTCAGATCCTGATTCAGATAGTTTCTCATTAGTTGTGCATTGGGGTGGGAAGTTTATTCATACTCCTACAGCAAAATATGAAGGGGGGAGGGGGGGGGGG